TGAACCCTAGGGTTACCCTTATATATGCTTTGGTTGTTAAGCTTGGTTTCCATGATGACCATAGCAACTTAATCCAGACAGCAATGAACCAACATGTTACAGGACAACAAATTTAATTAGCTATAAGGTGTTAACAACCTTTTATCAATTTAGAATTACATTGAAAAGAAACATAAAAGGGGTATTACTAATTCTTACACTTAAAGGGTATTTGTTGAATAATATGCTTGTAAATAAACTTTTATAAACATAATAAACTTTTATAAACATTATATACATCAAACTACATAAAAAGAAATAACAGTACATAATAAATGATTAAAAGAATTTATGCCTATACAACAACTACATTAAAAGAAAAACATGTACAAAATCGTTGTTACACTTTTTATCAAAAATATAATTTATTGAAGTTGAACAGTTAGAAAATTTTATCAGAAACTCATATTTCTTAAACATACTAGAATGCCATGAACACAATTCTGATACAAAGTCACTGCCTCACAGTAACGGTACGATAATTCCAGCTGTAAAGTAGCAGGAAAAGACACAGAAATTGGACGTAAAATCACTTTTTTCAGGCGTTAAACACATATAATTATGATCAGGAAAAATTAGAAAAGTATGGGGTTACTTAACTTCCCATTTTTTATGGCAGTACTTTTCTTTAGGGATGTAAAATTTGTCTTTCAAGTCAAAATGTTTATGTTCCATTCTATGCTTGTAAAATAAAATTACGGCTTTTAAAGTGTACTTTGTTCTTTAGTTATAATCTGTACATTAATTAAATAGTTGAAATGTTCTTCTATGCCCAGAAAATGCATATCTCTGCATAAAGTTTGTTGCTTCTTCTATGATATTTAATGTCAATCTTGAATAAAGTTTGACTTTTGTCTTTTCTTCTAATTGACATAATAAATTTTCTCTTCAATATTACTTTAAACTGATATCTGGTGAGTACTAACACTTTTCATGTAATGCTAACAATAATTAAAGTGAAAAATGCAAAGGGCAATAACTCCAAAAGTATGCAAAGAGTTATGGTTCTTAAACACAGCACATTACTCAAAAAGATCTATATCTGTGAAGTTTCAAATTAATATCTCCAGTACTTTTTAAGCTTAATGATCAAGACAAAAATTAAGCATAGAGAAGTAAAAAATGGAAATAAACCCCAAATCATGCAATAAAAAGTTATGGTTCCTTGGCATTGTAACTTCTCATAAATGAGATTTAGTTATATGTGGAGTTTAAAATTATTGTCTCTAACATCTTTTGTGCTATGCTTTCAGAGGCTTTAAATCTATTGTAAAAATTGATGTGTGAAAAGTAAATAAGTCATAATGTCTGATAAATTTCTTACAATCAGGATAAGTAAATACTAGCTAGTAAATACTGCATCCTCTAAGATTTAACAACACAGCATTCATCTAAGATCTGATAAAACTACTGCCCTCTTATCTAGTAATCTATGAATGGGGGTTAATAGTTTACTCATGCTGACCAGAATGTTCCATTTGATTATTTAGGGAGAGGCAACATTATACATGTTTTTACGTAGAATTTGTCTTAAAATAGCATGCTAAATTATCTTTCAAAAGCTTATTTCTACTCAATCTATTTAGGTATTAGATATAGTTATACATTCAAATGAATGTAAAAAATAAAATGATGGGTGCTATGGTTTTTGGAAAATCCCTCACAATTTAAAATTATAATGGACTGTCCACGCAGTTACACTGTTGTAAAGTTTGAATTCAAAGGAATTGAGGTCAGTTAAAGCTTGCAAACACAAAGGAAATTATTGATATTGTAGCAATTCTGGAGATATTTTGTTTAAAATGTAAGGGTGCATATTTTTGATTTCTCAAAGAAAACATTTAAAGTCTTATTAGTGTGGTAAATAGAAATGAGAAGTTTTAACTGAAGTGTGAATGTGTAGACAAGAAGATAAACAGCAGAATTATTCCCAGTCAAAGTTTCAGGTAAACAACTTTTACATACAATAATTATTGTTATTTATGCAGAAGCTGTTTAGTTTTTTGACAGTAAAAATATGAAGTGGTATTGTATAAAATTGTGTTTTATATTTGTTTTGTTTGTAACTTGACTAAAAAGAAAGCTGCATGCACAATGTACATATAAAGAATGTAGGAATATAAAGAATGTAGGAAGATCTTCATCATTTCTTAAATACAATATGTTAGAAATTTTAAGTTTGAGAAAAAAATTATAGAAATTAATCAGTAAGTACAATATCATTATGTACAATATTACATCAATCAATGTATAGATAACCTGAGGTACCTATTACTACAACTTTCATGCTATAAACAATTTTCCTTGTGTGTCACATGTGGAGCAGATTAACAGTAACTGATTTATTAGTAAGTTTCATTCCTTCATTGTTGTAATTCAGCTTTCATGGTGCAGTAGATGATTATATAACCATAACTAGACAGTCTAGAGTAACATGCTATTAGGAGAATGACAGTTCATAACAGAAACAGCATTAAATAAGAATTATTATTTTGCAGACACAAAGCAATGAGGACCAGCCTGGAGCAACACATTTGATCTTCAGTGGCTTTACAAAGGTATCTTGTTAATTCAAAGTTATTTTAGAATTAATAGGAAAGAAGTGTCACAGTACCCAATAAGACACTTTTCAGTTCTTGATAAATATAGCTATTAGTCACTATTTACAAACCTACTTTAATTCAAACTCTTTATGACACTTTAATTTGCATTTACATTTTGTTTTACAAATTTTAGAGTTTTTGTACATTTTAGCTTGAAAATTTTATCAAATATTTATCCTGATGAAGGTTCGTTAAGAACTGAAACTGGAAGATTATTAATTACTCAACCTGCACTGGTGTTGATGTGTTGTATTTCTTTATTTCTTTCTTATTTTAAAATTTTAGAGTTGTATTATATACCAAGGTCTTATAAAAGTGTTTCATTTTCTGTCTTTACATATTAGATATTGATAATCATTTTCTGTCTTTACTTATTTGATATTGTTAATCATATTTTAGGACCAAGTGATGGCAGAACTGAAGCCATATGCCTCAAAAGAGAAAGGTACAGCAAAGCTCTTCAGAATGCTATTCAATATAGAAGAGATTAAAGGTCGCTCATTGTTTGGTATGAGGAAAGGGAACAGAGAGTCTGACGCCAGACCTTCTTGTGCAGACAAGGCAAAACTTAAGTTCTTGGAAGGTAACTAATGAACTGAATGAAAATATCATTTTTGATTCTGCGTATATTTTCTGCCTTGGAGTAAACAAGAAAAATTCTTCCACGTCTGCAGTGCTGTTTTTTAAAGTGTTTTAATCATATCTATGCACTCAAATTGAATATAGAAATATCCAATAGTCATATAAAAATGTAAGCTTATGTTTTTAATTATTGTATTAATCATTCATAATTTTTTTTGTTTTAGATTGTGCGCTCGAAAAGTTGCCGACAACCTAAAGGACTGAACTCAAACCGTCCAGGAATAGCAAGATAAACTGAAGAAAATAAATGGACTAATGTTTTGCTATTTTTTGAGACAATATATAATTTCATATGGAAACATTAAAAAGGATTATTTTTAAAATTTGTTTGTTTCCAATTTAGGGTACAGGGTGACTTTCAAGCAGTTTCCAGCTATTGCCACCCACAAGGTGGAAAATTTCTGAAAGGGTGAAAATAGGTGGCATTTAGTGGAAACTGAATTTGCCACTATCTGGTGGCAAAATGGTGGAAAAGTGTCTAAATACTCCACCAATTTTCCACCCTTATGGTGGCAAAAGGTAGAAATAAGTGGCATTTGGTGGAAAATAAGTTTGCCACTCAATGGTGGCATAATGGTGGAAATTTGTCTAAATACTCCACCAATTTTCCACCATTATGGTGGCAATAAGTGGAAACAAGTGGCATCTAGTGGAAAATGAGTTTGCCACCCTAAGGTGGCATAATGGTGGCATTATGGTGAAAGTTTGTCTAAATACTCCACCAATTTTCCACTCATTGGTGGCATTTAGTGTAAAAAAGGTGGAATTAACTGGAAAATTATATAACATCAGTCCTGCTCAAATTTTTCATAATTTTCATGATTTGGGTGGCGTTTTGGTGGCGTTTTGGTGGCATTATTGGTGGAAAATTGTCTAAATACTCCACCATTGAAAAGGGTGGCATTTTAGTGGCAAATCTAGGGACGGGTAATGCTTTTTTGACAGATTTTACCCCTTAAGTTTTTCAGATTTTATATTTTACCCCTCACTTTAAATTTTGAGGGGTAAAAACCCCTTGGCCAAAAAAATTATCTGGAGCTCTGCTTAGGCCGAAAAATTTAGGGGAGATCACTGCGTAAATATGGTCACATGACAGGCGGATTAATTTTCAAGCAAAATAATTCCCGAATGGTCGAAGATTTCTAATATTGTTTTATTCTTTATAGATATACATGCTTATAGTAAGCGCCATGATTATTTACACAAATGTTAAACAACAGTTAGCTTCGTTACAAACCATAACTAGAATAATATCGATGGCTCAGCACAATACTGGTCTAAGTGACATTTTTACCAAAAATCACTTTTTAACATATTTTGATAATGTAAGGTCAAATACACATTCTGTGAAAATTTTAGGGTAATTAATGCTTTTTTTGCCTTTTTTATTTACATTTAAAATAAAAGTCTATCTCAGGTAGTTCAATTTTGTCAGTGCAATACAGGTCTAACTTGAGTTGGTCTCTTATTGCGATGTCAAATATATCAATTTTCCTCAAAAATGCTTGCGTTAGACCTTAAATGTTTCATTTCCAGGAACAGAATTATATGCATATCCCATTGAAATGTGTTATAAAGAATGTGAGAATTCATGAAAACACTAGAAATTATTTGCCTCCAATTCAGTGCTTTGTATAAATCGCGAAATATTAGCCAATTGCATAACATGTACAAGTAACTGTTAAAATCTTGAAAAAAATTAATAATAATTTAGTGTCACAATTAAACATTTATTTTGACTTTGAAGTCATTACATCATACTCATACTGTATTATTTGATAACATAAAGTGCAGTTGAAACTATCATTTTGGTGCAATTTAGTAAAAGACAGTGTAATTTGCTTCTCATGCACACATTTAAAATGGAAAATAACATGTGTTACACTAGTGGATTCATAACCTCTGATCCCCCTCTAAAAATTCATTGTTTTTTAGTTTGACCTTTGTTTAATCATATGCTGAGATTTCCTAATTCTTAATTTTACACTTTGTTCATATTTATATAATGTGTTCTGCTTAAGATGGTTTAAGGGGGTAGACTGTACATTGTTTCACTGCCAAATCAAACTTAGTCTGTAACACAATAACACATTTAAGGTTTGAAGCTGTTCCTGGGTTTTTATTTTTAAATTATGTATCTACTTCTGTAAGACTCTCTTTAATCAAGTAAAGTTATTTAAGAAATAATATATCCCAAACTGTGATTTTATTGCTTATTAACATCACTGTTTGGAGTTCGGATGCGAGGAATTATATCACGAGGGCGTAGCCTGAGTGATATAATGATGCCGATCCGAGCAACAAACAGTAATGTTATCAAGCAATAAAATCACCAATTTGGATATATTATTTCGATTCTAACACGACATTAACAAATAAATGCTGCGGTACCTGATATTAAGCTAAATTGCACCCGATTTGTTTCCGTTCTTATTGTCAGCGCGTCACATTTTTAGTTGTTACGTCACATGCATAATGATTACGTCACATGTATAGAACGTCAAACAGCAATTTTATTGCATAATAACACACACTTTCGGTTCTTCTATGTTCAATAGGGAAAAATGCAGGTCATGTTAGAAATATAAACTTATCACTATCAACTCAAACAATACAATAACAACATAGTGTCAACATGTGCAAATCACACTCTTCACAATACTTATATTATTGATACAATATCTTTCTGTCTGATGTGATATGTGCAGAAAAAATCAAAATATGCACACTTATATATTATAATGACCTTTTCAGTTCTTGTATTCTGATAATTTTTTACATCACACAGCTCCATTGAATTTTCGAGAGTGCAATTGTCAAAAGCTCTTTAACTTATGTGGCAGAAACAGCTATAAGTTGATAAAAATGTTTCATTTTAGATCTAAAAGCCATTAATTTTATCTATCAAATTTAATGAAATTAAAAATGTAATGAATATCAACTGCTTTTGGTATAGTATCAGTGTCAATGAGAAAATTCAAACATTTATCCATTCTTATTGTTTAGTGCTAATCTAAGGTGTGCACATGGTGCTTCAGGTGTGCGCCTAATTTCATATCTGAATGAGTAAGTGGTTGCAAGACTTAGTGTTTAAAGCACCTCTAACTTTACAAAAACTAGAACTGCCACTATCATGGCGTGAATACCCCCGCATACCACTTTGTCAGAATCAACAGTGGCCATTTAGAGCTCAAGGACAACCTCCCTGCCAAATCTGAGGTTACTAAGCCAGTGTATTGCTTAGTTATGTATTCTACATGCTTCAAAAGTGAAAATGTCAAAATCAATACATTGCCGACAGGACATTCTTTAGCAATTGAGAAGAAAAGCTTTTTTTTTGTCAAGCTCAGGCCTAAAAAAAAAAATTGTTTTGTTCGGGTCACCCGACCCTACCTAATAATATACGCCGACCCTACCGTTTTTTTCGTGTCAAAAAAAAAAAAAAAAAAAATCGATGAAAAATACCGTATTATTGAGGTACGGTACGGTACAGGTTTTATCGCCGCTCTTAGTAACAAAATGGCCGATCACATTGTCAACATTTGCAAAACGGCGTGTGATCTACACAAAACGGCCGAACGCCGAGAGTTTAAAATGATAACACAAAAAATGTCTTTTGAAGACATAGAAGGCATGTATCTGTGCCACCCGGGAGGGATTTCAGAAGTTTCCATATCTTCATCCGAAAATGGTCCATGGACGGCGTTAAAGGAGGACAATTTGTATGACGTCCCGGTCATGGAAATTCTTGAGAAATTTAGAGGCTTTACCTTCTTCAGAATAAGGTATATTTGAATCAAATGAATAGTAAGTACTATGAATCAGGCAAGTAGGAGTCTACCAAAACAAAGTATAATATTAATCACGTCGCATTATTATTAATCAAGTTTGATTGCGCCGACGTACAATGTAGATGAATATATTACCGAAATGTGCCGTTTTCCGTACCCCCACCCACCACTAGATCTACTTGCAGTACTTTGAATACCCATTACTTTACATATTGGACAGAACATTTTATCAGGATTTTAATAGATGTTTTAAAGAACTGAACATGGTTTTTATACAAGATGTCAGGATATTAACATAAAATAAAAATATTTTTTTGAAAAGAAAATCCACAAGAGAGGATCTATGGAATTAAAAAAATCAGAATATTGAAGGGCTTTCAGTAAAGATTCTAGTCATAGTACGATGACAGATGCCTGTCAGACTTGAAATGTGGCTGTATAAATTTTCTATGCCTGTACGTACATGTTTATGCTTTTTTATTATAAAGGTGTGTGGCAACAGACCAATCTGACATAGCTACAGACAAGAACAGCGAAGTTGATACTAGCAAAATAGGGGCCAGGAATGCTTTTGAAATCCTAATGCAGGCAGAAAAAAATACTCCTACACTTCCTAAGAAACGAACTACCAGGTACAATATTCAGACATTTTTATACCATATTTGTGTTGAATATATATATTTGTGTGTGTTTATGAATTATATTAAATGATATTGCATTCATGAAAAAATTAAGACATTCACTTATTTTGATGCTTTCTTTATCTTTCATAAAATTGGTCTGCATTATTAGAATTAGCACGCACCAACAATGAAGCTCATTTTTATTTGGTTGAATCACTGTTCAAAACTTTTGTTTTCAAATTTATCTACCGGTTTATAATATTCAATTTGTCCAAAAATTAATTAAGTAAATCTCAATTTTGCAGTAGCGGTGTACCTGTTGACAAGGGCATTTCAAGGAAGGATGAACTGTTCAACAAAGTCATTGACTGGATGGCTGATAGGGGTTTGAAGTTTTTGGACCCAGACACAGAAGGACTCTACATAGTACAGGTTAATAATCTTTTATATTTATTTAAAAAAAATGTTTTTAGATATTAAAACTTTATTTAATGAATTAGAGAAGAAATTTTTAGATATTAAAATAGATCTTTTCATCGGTCTGCTCATGCCATGAACTTTAATCTTTCATCTTAAAATTAATATTATGATATGAATAACTTTGATATTGAGGCATAAAACATTTTAAAAATATTTAAATACACTAAAATATATCGCAGTATTTTTATCGGTGTGTTAACTAGTATTCATATCATTTACAGATGTTTAATACTTTTCCTTTTAGAGTACATAGACATAAAGGTATAATAGTGTGATACATAAAAATGGGTCAAAGACAGAAAAGGCCGGGTTGCATATGTGTACAAAATATCATGAGGCTGTGATGTTACTTAAATTTTCTACCACTGTCTGACCATTGATGTTGAAAATTTAACTTAGTTGGTAAACCTGAAAAGAAGGAGCATCAGACCTGAAATGGAATCCCACAATATGGGACCACAGTCATGTCAATGCTGTGAACCACATATCAAGAGGCTGTGGTAAGAAGTTGTTGAGAAAACTGTTACGAAAATTTCCTACTATCTATAGATCATTAATAATGTAAAAATTTAACTAAATCGGCAAACAGGAAGTGGATGACTGCCAGACCTGAAATCAAATCGCACAGTATGGGACCACGTGATAATGCTCATGTATACAAAATATCAAAAGGCTGTGACAAGAATTTGTTGCGTAAACTGTTACGAAAATTTCCAACCATTAATGTCAAAATTTAACTAAGTCGGCAAACAGGAAGTGGACGAGCGACAGACCTGAAATCGAATCCCACCATAATTGTGACCATGTGTTAATGCTGTATACCAGATATCAAAAGGCTGTGATATATAGTTGCCAAGAAAACTGTTACCAAAATTTCCTATTGTTGACCATTAATGTTGAAAATTTAACTTAGTCGGCAAACAGGAAGTGGATGAGAGACAGACCTGAAATCGAATCCCAAAGTATGGTACCATGTGTTTATGCTGTATACTAAATGTCAGAGGCTGTGATGAGTAGTTGCTGAGAAAAATGTTACGAATATTTCTTACCATTGACCATTAAAGTAAAAAAATGTAACTAAGTCGGTACACAGGAAGTGGATGAGCAACAGTCCTGAAATCGAATCCCACGATATGATACCATGTGCTGATGCTGTATACCAAATATCAAAAGGCTGTGATAAGGAGTTGCTGAGAAAACTGTTACGAAAATTTCCTACTATTGACCATTAATGTTGAAAATTTAACTAAATAGGGAAACAGGAAGTAGATGAGCGACAGACCTGAAATCGAATCCCACAGTATGGATGTGTTGATGCTGTACACCAAATATCAAAAGGCTGTGATAAGTAGTTGCTGAGAAAACTGTTACGAAAATTTCCTACTATTGACCATTAATGTTGAAAATTCAACTAAGTCAGCAAACAGGAAGAAGATGAGCGACAGCCCTAAAATCGAATCCCACAGTATGGGACCATGTGTTGATGCTGTACACCAAATATCAAAAGGCTATGATAAGTAGTTGCTGAGAAAACTGTTACGAAAATTTCTTACTATTGACCATTAATGTAGAAAATTTAACTAAGTCGGCAAACAGGAAGTAGATGAGCGACAGACCTGAAATCGAATCCCACAGTATGGGACCATGTGTTGATGCTGTATACCAAATATCAAAAGGCTGTGATAAGTAGTTGCTTAAAAAACTGTTACGAAAGTTTTTCCCCGCCCGCCGCCCGCCCGGACGCCCGCCCTCCGCCCAACATTCACCATACTATAACCCGGGTTTGCACCAGTGCAACCCGGCCAAAAATGGTGATAGTTCCTAGCTGTTTTCCTTTTGTAGTTTCTGGTGACTGTAAAATTGCCATATTAATATCTAATCCTGTCACTGCAAGGGAATTTTGTACTTGTGCTAATATAGATAATAACATTGCTTGCACTTTCATTTGCTAATTATAAACTCATCATATGTTGTTGTTACAAGTTGTAAATGTGTCACTGTGTCAGAGGTACATTTAAAAACTCTTTTTTTTTTGAAAGTATTTTATTTTATTAAAAGGATGACATGAAATTGCTTTTGCAAAACAGTTTTATTAAATTTCAAAACAACATTAATGGGTTTATAACTCTGATTTTTTTTCTGGTCTAGCTCCTTGTATGTTTCTGTATGTTTCTGACACTCTAGTACCCTTTTTATAAATAGATTAACCCTGTTTAAACTTTACTTCTTCTCAAAAGTATGTAAAAAAATTGTTTTTTAACAGTCTGAATACTGAATTATTTAAACTTGCATTTTAATATGTCATGAAATATGTCAAATAAGTTATATTTTAATATTTAATACTAAGAAACAATATCCCAATGAGATGTAACTTTATAGTATATTGTACCATTTGTATACAATTGTATTTGAATTTTAATTTCAGTGCCACTGATGTTCTTAAGCTCATTCTTTTATCGCATGGTTCATTTTTTTCTTTCAGGTTCTAACCAATGCTTTGTGGTACATCACTAACCAGCAAACAGTAATAAATGACAGAAGCAGAAGGGAGGTGGCAGTTTACTCTGTACCAACAGCTTTTGAGGACTTTGTAGGGTTTAATGATCATAGACGCAAAAAACTGAAAGCCCAGCCACTGGAGTCTAATGTGTTAAAGTCACATGCAGAGGCGCTTTTTAGTTTGTGCACAAGACCATTGTTAAGAAGTTCCCCACAATGGGAGCAGGCATATCAGGACATTAAAGATCTAGCTTCATGTTTGTGGTCTTACCATAGTTACTTGGACAGAAAACGACATGTATCTGAAACTTATAGAAACATGGACCATCCGGCCAGGCCGATAGCAAAATATACTTCAATATATACTGTGCATAAATGTACCTCTGAAGTGAAACACACATACAAACTACTTGACAAAGCATTGAATATTGCAGATTTGTATGAACCAGTCTTTTTTGATGAAAACATTCATTTAAATTTACCATTTAATGACAATATGCAAAGATTGAGGTTCTTCGAAAATGTCAATCTATCTGTTACTGTAGATATTATCAAGTTTTGTCCTGGGGGGAGTATTTTAACTGTATATTGTTTTTGTAAGGTACCTGATACTAGAACTGATGCTCAGAAACAAACTGATGCAGGTTCTTTATTGTTAAAAATAAGACCACAACTCCCGGAGTATCATACAATGTTTATGAAACAGCAATTCAAACGCAGATTAGGCAATGTTGTTTCTATACAGCCAGGGGTAGTGGATATGATCTACAAGGAGCTTGCCTTGGATGCTTCAGCAACTTCACACCCAGACTTTCAGCAACGCCTAAGATTGATATATATGGGTGAAACTGGTCTTCTTCCAGATCTGAGAAAAATGAATACTGGTCGCCCGTCCGATAAATTTGATGTTTTTTTTACCAAGCTAGGAGAGATAATAGAAGAAAACACAGCAGCTGATGAAAGAAGACATAATGAAGCCCACATGTCCCAGTATCTGTCAGTTAATGACCTTGTGACTCAAGCCGCAGATCAATGTCCACCAGGTTCTGAAATTCCATCCAATGCATTGGTAAGGTTGCAGTTCATGCCAAAGAACCCCTATTCTAAAACTGCTCTGGCTTTTACTTCAAAGCTGCCAATACAGTACAAGATTCAAAGGCGTCAGTTACGACTTGCTCACCCCGATGACCACTTTACCTTTGCCTTGTTTAAGTATCTGAGAAGTTTTGCCGTAAAACTAGGAGACTCCTGCACTCTATTCTGCTGCGATGACAAGGCGAAAGTTCATATTGGAGAACCTGGGGTTGCTCTTTCTACTGGTGTACGTGGAAAGAAAAGTATAGCCCCTGCAAACACAACACTTGTAGCTACTGATCATGATATGCATCATAAAGGTAGTTTGACACCATCAGTTTATTTGAAATGTGATGTACCAAAAGACATGAATGGATCCTTCTACAGAGGAAAAGTCACAACTGTGATTAATGACTCAGTGTTCCAATCATCTAATCCAATGAGACATGCAGCAGTACTGGCAAGACTTGTGAAAAATGACCCTTCATGCCCAAAAGTGTTTCTTAGATTTACAGATGGTGGCACTGATCACAGAAATACTTTAGAACATGTGAAATGTGCGTCTATTTGCTTGTTCAAGGAGTTGGATTTGGACATGTTCGTAGCCTGTAGGTGTGCTCCGGGTCAAAGTTTTATCAACCCAGCAGAGCGAGTTATGTCCATCCTGAACATTGGGCTCCAAAATTGTACTCTTTCTAGAGAAAAATCTGAAGATGCAGTTGAAGATGTTTTGAAGAAATGCAACTCTATGGATGATCTTCGCAAAAAGGGGACTGACATTTCTGACCAGTGGGCTCAGTCGATAGAACCTGTGAGACAGAAAGTGATGAGCAGATTCTTAAGGCTAGCTTTGAAGGGGGAGCCAATACAGGTGATGGATCCTGTTGGAGATGAAGAAATAGATTTGCTGAGTAAGCATCTTAATTACATGTTCCCGAATATGAACACAGAAAAGCTTGTGAAATCAGAGACCAACAAGGTCAAGGAATATATTGTATGGCTTGAAAATCATTGCCGCCAAAGACAATATTCATTTCAAATAAAGAAATGTGGGAATCCAGATTGTTGCAGTCCAGCAACACTCGATCTATCCTGGCTACCTGAGATCCTGTACTAGATGAGAGTAAAGAGCACTATCAGCCTTTCGATGAATTGTATGGTCAAGATACAACTGACAGTGACCGCCCAACTTTCCAGAAACCCAAAGAAGGCAAAGCATCAAAGGTTAATAATGCTAAAGGCACTAAGCTAGCTCCAAATTCAATTACCCCAAATTCAATTACCCTTCTACCAGACGACAAAGATCTAATAGGTGATGCCTCCTTGTATACAGGACAGAATGCCAGATCTGCTGTAGAATGTGTAGAATGCCTCAAACCAAGAATTGTTTACTCTAACATGAGACTGAATGGACGAACAAAAATGCAGTTTGCCATGTTACTTTCAGAGCTTGAGTATACGTGTGGTTCTCCATTGACCACTCCAGGTGACAGTCTTCATGGGAAATTGTTTGTCAGATTGAATATAGATTGTAGTAGTCCAATGGAAACTTCATACTTCAGTGCCGTTAATTACAATGCTGACTTTGTTCACCCTGATCGTTGTTATTTTTGTGGGAAAACAGGAGCTGAAATAAAGGCTGAATTAAAAGTCAAGTTCAAAACAGTATATCCTCTTTGTACTGACTGTGAAGCCAAAGGTTTCAAAGCATGTTGTGCCAGACCATTTGGAAAGAAAATTAAGACCAAGTAGTGATACTGTATCATAAAATGTGGTATAAATTAAGTCCAGGATTTTGCATATTGGTCTATGTGGTTAAACTTTCTACAGGAACTGTTTTCATGTTCATATTTTAATATGCTTTTTTATGTAGACCGAAATTTAATAATGATATTAAGTAAAATTGTGAATGTATATTTGCATATACAATGTACTAAGACAGTTTGTTTCAGTTTTGAAATGTAGAACATGTCAGTAAATTTTGGTATGAAACTAAGATATTTTTTACTTTTTCAGTACTCACATTGTTCCCAATAATTGTTTTATACTAGTAGGAACCTCTGGTCGCATTATAAAAGATTGAGCGGGCATTGACCGGCTAATGGTTAGCATGGCTATGTATTACACCGATGACCACACCCTTGTAAATGGTTTATATAAATTTGGCATGATGTGCATTACCCATTCATCATGCTTTAGTGTTGCTGACCTGCTAGGAAAAGCAAAGGTGACTCAGTAATAACCAAAGGGTACATATAAAAATGACAAATCAACTATATATCATACTTTTTATTGCATTTCTACTCAGCATTGTAACTTATCAATCAATCAAGGGGTCCTATGTGAGAGCCAGTACAAATTCTACCAAAAAATAGCAAATGTCAATATAAAAAAAAAAAAAAAAAAATCCGACCTACCCTACCTATTCCTTGAGAGCATGTTACCCTAACAAAACAATTTTTTTTTTTAGGCCTCACTGTGACCTTGACCTTTTGACCCAGTGACCTCAAAATCAAAAGGGGTCACCTTATAGTCATGATCAACATCCATGCCAATATGGAGACTGTGGGTCAAAGGAATCTTAAGTTATTGGGCGGACAAGCTTTTTGAAGTCAAGGCCCCTGTGACCTTGACCTTTGACCTAGTGACCTCAAAATCAATAGGGGTCATCTACTAATCATGACTAACCTCCATGCCAAATATGAAGACTGTGGGTCAAAGGAATATTAAGTTATTGGGCGGACAAGCTTTTTGAAGTCAAGGCCCCTGTGACCTTGACCTTTGACCTGGTGACCTCAAAATCAATAGGGGTCATCTACTAATCATGACTAACCTCCATGCCAAATATGACGACTGTAGGTCAAAGGAATCTTAAGTTATTGGACGGACAAGCTTTTTGAAGTCAAGGCCCCTGTGACCTTGACCTTTGACCTGGTGACCTCAAAATCAATAGGGGTCATCTACTAATCATGACTAACCTCCATGCCAAATATGACCACTGTAGGTCAAAGGAATCTTAAGTTATTGGGCGGACAAGCTTTTTGAAGTAAAGGCCCCTGTGACCTTGACCTTTGACCAAGTTACCTCAAAATCAATAGGGGTCATCTACTAATCATGACTAACCTCCATGCCAAATATGACGACTGTAGGTCAAAGGAATCTTAAGTTATTGGGCGGACAAGAAAAAACCGACGGCCGGCCGGACGGCCAGACGGACGGACAGCCGGACGGACGGACAAGCTGATTCCAGTATACCCCCCTTACAACTTTGTTGTGCGGGGGTATAATGATTCTGAAATTATATCATGTGCTAACAATACTTTGTTCTATGAATCCCTGATAGTGGGTTGTTTTAACTGCCCTACATTTTTCTCTAAAATATGTTTGACATCCTCTTGTTATTTGGTCAAAATTTAGAGGTAAAATGACTTTGATATATAAAATGAAACACTTTTCTTAAGATATGCACAGTTTTCAGCAAAACATGTCATAAAATTTGCACATTACACTTTTAATATATACTCTAAACAGTTGAGAAAGTAAATACAAAAGTTGTAATAATTTTAGCATGGTCTAACAGCGGTTTTCATTTTTGAAAATATTTGATATTTATAAATGATTATATCATCAGAAAAGAGGACCACATACATTAAATTCATTAAGATTTAGCGCATAACAGTAATATCGGAATCACGGCATTTAAGCACCAATGGTGGTAATGGTGTGCATTGAGAAAATAAAATGTGTCTACTTTGTACAAATGTGAGTTATACAAAATGTACATTCCCTGTTTGATATCATGATATATACCTGGATTGTCAGTCATCATTGTTCATGACTACTGTTCATAACACTATATGTATCAAAACTGTTTGCATTTTGTTTAGAATTCAAATTTATTGCACAGATAATCTGCAAAAGATCTTAAGTAAATCTGAATCTCAAACAAATTGAAAAAGAAGAAAGAAGTGTACTTTCATCTAAAGTCAGCTCGCATGATATATTAATAGAAAAATATTAAAGGATTTAGTCTATGTAAAGTTCTTCTACAGACTTGCAGAATATTTTAAACAATGTTTAAATCAATAAAACAATTTTGTTCAAAATTTAAAATTTCATTTATATCAGAATATTTAACATAAACAGGTCTAACTCAAATATTTGTACCACTTTTACCAAATTGCAAGAGGGAATTTGAGTCTAACTCAAGTTAATCTTGTATTGCGCTCAGAATTTCAGTGCAATAAAGGTCTAACTCTAAAATACACAATTTGTAACATTTTAATAAAAAATTATATAAATGGCATTATTTCTTATTAAAATTAATGTTAACATAGCAAAAAAATATTTTCTAATATAAATATTTTTGAATAAAATCTGTTTTTTGTCTCTCCTGAACATTTTCAAAAATAGCAGTTAGACCAGTATAGCACTGAGCCATCAATATTATATAGAGGATATTTGTTTGTTTCAGTGTAAGATCGAAAAATATTTCACCGAGTGAACACCAGATGCAATATTTTCCACGAGTGGCGTAGCCACGAGTGAAAATATAATAGCTGGGGTTCACGAGTGAAATATTATTTGATCTTACATGTAAAACAAACAAATTTTCTGTTTATTTCATGATTTTTTAACGATTTTTACACCATTTTACTGATTTTTGCCGCGTAACGTCATGCTCTTATCTTCAAGACGTCATCAAATAATGACGTCACAATGTTGAAGCAAAATATAATTCCATGATTATTTTTAGATTTTAGATGTTTTTCAGCACAACGTTCGTAAATATTTACGAACTACAGTTATCACGTACATTATTTATTATGATTGACTACATTTCCGCTGAAAAAAACATTCATTAATGATAAATATTTTATTTTTACGCCAAATATAGTTCGGCTACTGTGAAATTATATTTGGTAATCATTACTGTGAAATTATCAGAATATAATTAACCGTTATAATTCAGTAATCTACTGCAAAACATGTAATAAAATAATATAATATAATACTTCAGGCCGTTAACATGTAAATCCACCGTGGCCGAGGGGTTTGCGCGCTCGCTTAGGAAGCGAGAGGTCTGGAGTTCAAATCCTAGTTAAGGCAACTCATTTTTTTTTTCAAATTGTTTAAGTCAAATAAACATTGGATCAAATATCAGTGTTGCAATAAGTCTTATAGCCAATCTACTACAATTAAAACGCTGTAAAGCATTGGTGGCACTATAGAAAAACAAATTGTTTTATAATCTCACAACCTTCACCTTTCTGACATTCTGAGACCCAAACAAATTCAGCGCCTTCTGTGCTTTGATTTCTATATGCCACTTTACATACATTTTTTTTCTTTTGATATTTCTATTTATAGCTATAGTGGCCGCTAAAAGGGGCCAATCAAATAAATATGAGCACACTTGACAAAAGACTACCCAAGAATGCTACAGACAAAGTTTGGTGATCATCCATCTATTAGTTCTGTAGTAGAAGATGTCTAAAGGGTTTTTTTATTTTTAGCTCTGTTGACCCCTAAAAGGGTCCAATTGAAATGACATGAGCAAATTTAAGTTTGACTGTCACATACATGCTACAGACCAAATTTTAGGTAAATCTGCCCAGCAGTTTCAGAGAAGAAGATGATTGTTGGCGCATGACGCCGGACGCCGGAGTATCTCCCTTTGATACTAATAGTTTACCTCGAGCCTTCGACAGCAGTGATTATTATAGCTGGACTTTTTGTTTTAAAACAGACAATGTAACTCAACATATTATACATTATTTAATTTTACCCATGAAATATATTGCTATATCAGTCAATATATATTTCATATTTTTTTTTAAATAAATATGAAATAAAAAATTATATAAAAGTGGGTTTATTTTTTAGGGACTACTTTCTTATGTGTCTCCCAGCTCCACATATGACATTCAGTATTTCAGTTATAAATTCACTTCATTATCAATAAATTATAATAAAACCTCTATATTGAAAAAAAATAAAAATAAATAACAAGAACGCGATACCATAATGAATAGATCTTATAAGTATTTTTCTTTTTAAAAACAAGCAACAGGTTTATAAAATTCTTTAATGTCATTTAAAGGTTAGTGTCAAATG